TCATAACACTTGTTTGTTCTTAATAACATATTGTTATTAAGTTTTTGATGATTTTTTCTATTCCACACATTTCACTGTGATAAAATCAAAAGAGCTTGTTCTTAATAAGTTTTTTTGAACCATCTCTCCCAATTGCAAAAATATAATTGCTACGATTGGAAAAGTGTTATTATAATAAAAAATGTAACTAATTTATTTATTTAAACCGGTTAGCCGGGCAGCAGGTTCAAAGTGAAGGGCTCACTATGGGGTTGGTTCAAATTCGCATTTTCAAACCACTTATAAATCAGGTATTCAGGTCTTGGGGTTGAGTAGTACATTCTCACCATGTAGCTCCATTACAACCCCTAGTTAAAAGTTTCAAATTAGAGCCAAAGAGACTGATTGGGAGAGTTTTAGAGGACAATCATAGTCATCATACAGATCACCAAAATTTCAGAAATGCAAGAATAATTATCTTTTAATGGGGAAAAAGAAGAAATAATTTACATGGGTTGAGAACAACCCTCTTCTCAAAATTGCATAGACTGGATTTAGTAGGTCAACCAACCTTGCCTTCAACTCTCAAAACTATGGTAATGGAAAGAGAAAAAAAGGGCAAGGATGTCATCATGTTTTCTTAGGTAGCCATTTTGCTGCTCCTTTTGTTATTCATCCTCTCTCATAATGCATTCAAACGAGAAGTTAGATCGATGAAGGCGGTTTCTTTGCATGGAATTGTGAGACCACCCATGGGATGATCATAACCAAACTCTTCCTCGGCCCGACTTAACAAGTCTTGGAATGAAGGATGGTTCAAGAAGGATATCGGCACCACAAATCGCTTCTTCTGGTTCTCTCCCACATAAACCGCAAAGTGGCCTTTGGGACATCTGCTGTAGTTGCTGCTTGAGATAACTGGTTTCTAGTAAGAAGAGACTGTACTTTAAGAATCTGCTTAGCATGAAGAGTCAGTGAAGGTAAACGGATACCCATGACTGTCCTTGAAGCAAAGTGAAAGAGGACCACTAGTGGATTTAATTGGCTTTGACAGAACAGGAAAATGAAAGCTTTAACCTCAAGAGGATGTGGGTGAAGACTTGGGTGTTGGGAAGGCTGGTTTAGTGCCTGTTTATTTATAGGGAGAGGAATGCCAATCCTTTCCAATGGAGTCTGGTCAGGAGATTGGTAATGGGGTCTGCTGAGGGACCTACCTCATCAAGAATCACGTGGCTTTCTCATGTAATTGCTAATTATCCATCCACCAGCCTATGTTTCAGCGGCCCGGCATGTTCGTTTGAAGTCACTGTCCAAATTAGGCTGCAATTAATAGTAGCACATAACAACAGATGGCCGTACATTAGAAAACAAAGAGCAACAGATCCATGTGCTGGTGCTGGTGCTGGTTTACAGACAAATGCAATGTGAAGATGATAAAATCTTGTTCCAACTACCAAACTTTAAAAAGAATGGCAAAAGACAGGCGGTAATAATGAATTCATGTATAAATTTGAAAAAAATCATACACCCTTCTTTTTAAGCTTTTGAATCTCTTGGTGAATTGTTATTTGCTATCGTTAGAGTTAAGATCAATAGGTGTGATCAATAGGTGTGCTGTATATATCATGATTAGTTGGCGGCCTAATCTTGTCTGTGTTGAGGAGAAGCAAAAAGTGATTCTGATGCGAACGTCTTACTGGACACTAATTTGGATCAATAAATAGTTTGGTGAGTAACCAAATAAAGGTTTTAAATCCCATCATCTTGGCTGGGCCATTACCCTTAAGAATACCCCAAAGCATGCGGAGAATTTCAAGATAAATTAAGCAATGAAAAAATGCGGTGTTTGCAATTTGCATTACCATTTTATAAGCATCGTTATCTCGAGGAAGATCAAGACAAGATAAAGATAACTGAGTAGGCCAGGCGGTGCTAACGTAAAGCATTAAAAGAAGAGACCACCTTGTTGAGGAGGGTTGATAAATTTTCAAGAGAGAGAAATTTACTAGCTGAATTTTGCAACTCAAATTTTTTATAGAAAAAGTCTGGAGCGTTTCCTACTGTTACAAAAATTGTGACAGTATTACAAATCAAGACACTTCCTACCCAGAAGGGTAAAACAAAACAAATAAAGTTAAAGACCTTTGAATGTTTCTTATTAAGATTTGATGCCTTATGATGAGTGAGCGTTTGTTATGTTTCTCATCTCTAGCCATCAGGAGAATCAAAATGGCTATATAAACTTCAGGTGCCTACAGATGCCTCCTTTTGGAGAGGTTGCCACTAACTGAATGCCAAAGCTGGGGCAACCCAAGTCCCACTAGTTCCTATAATGTGAATGCACACAACCTTGCAAGTTTAAATTTCAGTTTAACTGACAATTTATGTCAATTCAAGCATGAGCTCCAGAACAGACAACTGTTTGACTTGCAGCGTTTTACAAAATTTTGACTGTGACGCCTCTCTGGGTTCTGATCTTGCTTAGTTAATTGGTCTAGATTAAAGAAGAGTAACATGGAGTTCATTTAGATAAATTGTTTCCAGTCAGTGATGTCAGACACTACTAGATTAATCCCTCCCACTGTTAAGGTCCCTCAATTCAGGGTATAGTATTTAAATTTTAAAACACTTACCAGGTAACTCCCTGATTACTAACTACACAACTTTTGCAGCAGGAATGCAAGAAATTCAGTTCTTATTTGGTTCTTTTCAATCCCTTAAGCCATTACATTCACAAAAGTAGTGTTGGGCAAGAACTGAAAAGAAATCCCTTAACCGCCAAACCCGTTACAACCCCTGGTTAGAAATTTCAAATTAAAGCCAAAGAGACTGATCTGGGAGACTTTTAGACGACAATCATAGCCTCAGATAGATCATTTCAATTTATAAAAGCAAGATTTTTTTTCTAATGATGTTTTAATGGTTTTTTTGGCTCATTCCGCCCACTCATTTACAGGGAAAAGGAAATAATTTACATGGGTTGAGAACAACCCTCTCAAAATTGCAGAGACTGGATTTAGCAGGTCAACAAATCTTGCCTTCCAACTCTCCAAACTATGGTCATGGAAAGAGAAAAAAAAAATCCAAGGATGTCTCCATGTTTTCTTGGCTAGTCATTTTGCTGCTTCATTTGTTTTTCTTCCTCTCTCATAATGTATTCAAATGGGAAGTTAGATCGATGAAGGCGGCTTCTTTGCATGGAATTGTGAGACCACCCATGAGATGATTGTACCCAAACTCTTCCTCGGCCCGAGTTAACAAGTCTTGGAATGATGGATGGTTCAAAAAGGATATCGGTACCACAAATCGCCTTTTCTGGTTCTCTCCCACGTAAACTGCAAAGTGGCCTTTTGGGACATCTGCTGTAGTTGCTGCCCGAGACAACTGGTTTCTAGTAAGAAGAGACGGTAGTTTGAGAATTTGCTTAGCATGAAGAGCCAGTGAAGGCAACCGGATACCCATGACTGTCGTTGAAGTTTGTGAATGGTGATCACAAATGAATCTGGATTTGATAGAACAAGAAACTGAAAGCTTAGACACTTGAGAGGATGTGGGTGAAGACTTGGATGTTGGGAAGGCTGGTTTAGTGCCTTTGTATTTATAGAGAAGGATGTCAGTCCTTTGCAATGGAGTCTGTGGTATGAAGATTGGCAATTGGTTCTGCTGAGGGACCTACCTCATCAAGAATCACATGGCTTTGTTCATGTAATTACTAATTATCCATCCACCGGCCTATCTTTCAGCGGCCCAACATATCATTTGAAGTCACTGTCCAAATTTAATAGACGATCGTACATTAGAAAACAAAGAGTAATGGATCCATGTGCTGGTGTTGGTTTACAGACAAATGCAATTTGAAGATGATACAAGCTTGAGCCAACAACCAAATTTTGAAGGAATGGCAAAAGACTTAAGACAGGGTAATAAACTCTGGGAAAAACCAGACGACCACAAACTGGTATTAATCCTACATGGCAAGGTCTCTCATGATTTTCCTCATTTATACAAGCATTACTGATAACAACACATGGAGACATTAGACCCAGCCGGTCGATTGCTTACTCAGAGAGAAGAGCATCAATGGAAAGTGCCTAAACTATCTCATCTGCAGTTGGATTAGTCATATAAAACCATCACTGCCTCACCCCCTTAAAACTTCTAAGGGTACAGTATTTGATTATTGGCGGGTTTTTCCCCCTCCTCAGAAGCTGGTTAGATGCCACTATAGATGTCTCCAAAATCCAATCTTGTCTATGTTGTGGAGAGCCAGAGCAGTTTGTTATTCAGATGTCCCACTAACTTGATGCTAATGCTGGAAAGCAGAAAAATTTAGTTCTACCTCAGTCCACTAATGGAATCACAATTCCATTTCACCAATTCCCAAACCTGGAAATAATGACTTCCCACATTCCAAATATGGTGAAGAAGTTGATGGATATTGAAGGTCTGTAAAAATTATGAGGATCCAACGACAATATCCCTCTTATGGAGGATACAATGTTTCATAAACCAGATATCCCCACAGTAAGAGGTATGGTGTAACTGCCTTGCAAATGCCTTTAATTGCCATATGAACAAGAGATCAAGATCGAGTGAGTCAATGCATCTACTATTGACGTATGTCATGGATGCAGAATGTCTGAATATGTGGCTGCCGGTCTTGCTTCTAAGGATCACAAGCAAACATCAAGAGATTCGTAGTTACTCAACTTTTGCAACAGGACTGCAAGAAATTCAGTTCAAATGTGTACTTTTCAATCCCTTAATCCATTCAGTTAAAAAAGTTAGGGCGGCAATTACTGACCCAAGGAATCAACAAGCTTGGCATTGTCACAGTTAGTCTCGACAAATATTATCTCCCAGAATCATGTGGTCCTAACTCCTAACACTTGGTTACCTTAATAACATATAGTTATTAAGTTTCTGATGATTTTATCTGTTCCACACATTTCTCTATGATAAAATCGAAAGAGCTTGAGATTTTTTTTGAAATCGAAAGAGAAATTTGTCATCCACAAAAATGGAAAGAGGGGGATTTGAACCTTCGGTACAAATTAAAAAAAAACTCATACAAACAATTAGTAATTTGCTGCTTTAGTCCACTCAACCATCTCTGATCCCAATTGCAAAACTATAATTGCTACGATTGAAAAAGTGTTATTATAAATGAATATGTAACTAATTTATTTATTTAGACGGGTTAGGCGGGCAGGTTCATAGTGAGGGGCTCACTACTGCGTTAGGTTCAAATTCACATTTTCAAACCACTTACAAATCAGGTATTCAGGCCTTGGAGTTGAGAACATTCTCACCATGTCGCTCCATTACAAACCTCTGGTTAAAAGTTTCAAATTAGAACTAAAGAGACTGATTGGGAGAGTTTTAGAGGACAATCATCATCATCATCATATAGATCACAAAAATTTCAGAAATGCAAGAATAATGATCTTTTTAATGGGAAAAAATAAGAAATAATTTACATGGGTTGAGAACAACCCTCTTCTCAAAATTTGCATAGACTGGAATTAGTAGGTCAGCCAACCTTGCCTTCAACTCTCAAAACTATGGTAATGGAAAGAGAAAAAAAGGGCAAGGATGTCATCATGTTTTCTTAGGTAGCCATGTTATTCCTCCTCTCTCATAATGCATTCAAACGAGAAGTTAGATCGATGAAGGCGGTTTCTTTGCATGGAATTGTGAGACCACCCATGGGATGATCATACCCAAACTCTTCCTCGGCCCGACTTAACAAGTCTTGGAATGAAGGATGGTTCAAGAAGGATATCGGCACCACAAATCGCTTCTTCTGGTTCTCTCCAACGTAAACTGCAAAGTGGCCTTTTGGGACATCTGCTGTAGTTGCTGCCTGAGATAACTGGTTTCTAGTAAGAAGAGACTGTACTTTAAGAATCTGCTTAGCATGAAGAGTCAGTGAAGGTAAACGGATACCCATGACTGTCCTTGAAGCAAAGTGAAAGAGGACCACTAGTGGATTCAATTGGCTTTGATAGAACAGGAAACTGAAAACTTTAATCTGAAGAGGATGTGGGTGATGACTTGAGTGCTGGGAAGTGCCTATTATTTATAGTGAGAGGAATGCCAATCCTTTCCAATGGAATCTGTGGTCAGGAGATTGGCAATTGGGTCTGTTGAGGGACCTACCTCATCAAGAATCACATGGCTTTGCTCATGTAATTGCTAATTATCCATCCACCAGCTTATGTTTCAGCGGCCCGGCATGTTTCTTTGAAGTCACTGTCCAAATTAGGCTGCAATTAATAGTAGCACATAACAACAGATGCCCGTACATTAGAAAACAAAGAGCAATAGATCCATGTGCTGGTGCTGGTGCTGGTGCTGGTGCTAGTGCTGGTGCTGGTGCTGGTTTACAGACAAATGCACTGTGAAGATGATAAAATTTGATCCAACTACCAAGTACCAAACTTTAAAAAGAATGGCAAAAGACAGGCGGTAATAATGAATTCATGTATAAATTCGAAAAAAATCATACTCTTCTTTTTAAGCTTTTGAATCTCTTGGTGAATTGTTATTTGCTATTGTTAGAGTTAAGATCAATAGGTATGCTGTATATATCATGATTAGTTGGCGGCCTACTTCGACCACCACAAACTGGTAGGCTGCTGCGACAGATATCTCTGAAGCCTGATCTTGTCTGTGTTTAGGAGAAGCAAAAAGTGATTCTGATGCGAACGTCTTACTGGACACTAATTCGGATCAATAAATAGTTTGGTGAGTAGCCAAATAAAGGTCTTAAATCCCATCATCTTGGCTGGGCCATTACCCTTAAGAAAACCCCAAAACATGTGAAGAATTTGAAGATAAATTAAGCAATGAAAAAATGTGGTGTTTGCAATTTGCATTACCACTTTATAAGCATCGTTATCTCGAGGAAGATCAAGACAAGATAAAGATAACTGAGTAGGCCAGGCGGTGCTAACACAAAGCATTAAAAGAACCTTGTTGAGGAGGGTTGATAAATTTTCAAGAGAGAGAAATTTACTAGCTGAATTTTGCAACTCAAAATTTTTATAGAAAAAGTCTGGAGCGTTTCCTACTTTTACAAAAATTGTAACAGTATTACAAATCAAGACATATCCTACCCAGAAGGGTAAAACAAAACAAATAAAGTTAAAGACCTTTGAATGTTTCTTATTATTAAGATTTGATGCCTTATGATGAGTGAGCGTTTGTTATGTTTCTCATCTCTAGCCATCAGGAGAATCAAAATGGCTATATAAACTTCAGTTGCCTACAGATACCTCCTTTTGGAGAGGTTGCCACTAACTGAATGCTAAAGCTGGGGCAACCCAAGTTCCACTAGTTCCTATAATGTGAATGCACACAACCTTGCAAGTTTAAATTTCAGTTTAACTGACAATTTATGTCGATTCAAGCATGAGCTCCAGAACAGACAACTGTTCGACTTGCAGCGTTTTACAAAATTTTGAATGTGACGCCTCTCTGGGTTCTGATCTTGCTTAGTTAATTGGTCTAGATTAAAGAAGAGTAACATGGAGTTCATTTAGATTAATTGTTTCCAGTCAGTGATGCCGTCAGACACTACTAGATTAATCCCTCCCACCGTTAAGGTCCCTCAATTCAGGGTATCGTATTCAAATTTTAAAACACTTACCAGGTAACTCCCTGATTACTAACTACACAACTTTCGCAGCAGGAATGCAAGAAATTCAGTTCTTATTTGGTTCTTTTCAATCCCTTAAGCCATTACATTCACAAAAGTAGTGTTGGGCAAGAACTGAAAAGTAATCCCTTAACCGCCAAACCCGTTACAACCCCTGGTTAGAAGTTTCAAATTAAAGCCAAAGAGACTGATCTGGGAGACTTTTAGACGACAATCATAGCCTCAGATAGATCACTTCAATTTATAAAAGCAATATTTTTTTTCTAATGATGTTTTAATGTTTTCTTTGGCTCATTCTGCCCACTCATTTACAGGGAAAAAAATGAAATAGTTTACATGGGTTGAGAACAACCCTCTCAAAATTTCAGAGACTGGATTCAGTAGGTCAACAGACCTTGCCTTCAACTCCCCAAACTATGGTAATGGAAAGAGAGAAAAAAAATCCAAGAATGTCTCCATATTTTCTTGGTTAGTCAATTTGCTGCTACTTTTGTTTTTCCTCCTCTCTCATAATGCATTCGAACAGGAAGTTAGATCGATGAAGGCGGCTTCTTTGCATGGAATTGTGAGACCACCCATGGGATGATCGTACCCAAACTCTTCCTCGGCCCGAGTCAACAAGTCTTGGAATGATGGATGGTTCAAAAAGGATATCGGTACCACAAATCGCCTTTTCTGGTTCTCTCCCACGTAAACTGCAAAGTGGCCTTTTGGGACATCTGCTGTAGTTGCTGCCCGAGACAACTGGTTTCTAGTAAGAAGAGACTGTAGTTTGAGAATTTGCTTAGCATGAAGAGCCAGCGAAGGTAAACGGATACCCATGACTGTCGTTGAAGTTTGTGAATGGTGATCACAAGTGAATCTGGATTTGATAGAACAAGAAACTGAAAGCTTAGACACTTGAGAGGATGTGGGTGAAGACTTGGATGTTGGGAAGGCTGGTTTAGTGCCTTTGTATTTATAAAGAAGGATGGCAATCCTTTGCAATGGAGTCTGTGGTATGAAGATTGGCAATTGGGTCTGCTGAGGGACCTACCTCATCAAGAATCACATGGCTTTGCTCTTGTAATTACTAATTATCCATCCACCGGCCTATCTTTCAGCGGCCCAACATATCATTTGAAGTCACTGTCCAAATTTAACAGACGTTCGTACATTAGAAAACAAAGAGTAATGGATCCATGTGCTGGTGTTGGCTTAAAGACAAATGCAATTTGAAGATGATACAAGCTTGGGCCAACAACCAAATTTTGAAGGAATGGCAAAAGACTTAAGACAGGGTAATAAACTCTGGGAAAAACCAGACGACCACAAACTGGTATTAGTCCTACATGGCAAGGTCTCTCATGATTTTCCTCATTTATACAAGCATTACTGATAACAACACAAGGAGACAGTAGACCCAGCCGGTCGATTGTTTACTCAGAGAGGAGCATCAATGGAAATTGCCTAAACTATCTCATCTGCAGTTGGATTAGTCATATAAAACCATCACTGCTTCACCCCCTTAAAACTTCTAAGGGTACAGTATTTGATTATTGGCGGGTTTTTCCCCCTCTTCAGAAGCCGGTTAGATGCCACTATAGATGTCTCCAAAATCCAATCTGGTCTATGTTGTAGAGAGCCAGAGCAGTTTGTTATTCAGATGTCCCACTTACTTGATGCTAATGCTGGAAATCAGAAGATTTAGTTCTATCTCAGTCCACTAATGGAATCGTAATTCCATTTCACCAATTCCCAAACCTGGAAATAATGACTTCCCACATTCCAAATATGGTGAAGAAGTTGATGGATATTGAAGGTCTGTAAAAATTATGAGGATCCAACGACAATATCCCTCTTGTGGAGGATACAATGTTTCATAAACCAGATATCCCCACAATAATAGGTATGGTGTAACTGCCTTGCAAATGCCTTTAATTGCCAAATGAACAAGAGATCAAGATCGAGTGGGTCAATGCATCTACTATTGACGTATCTCATGGATGCAGAATGTCTGAATATGTGGCTGCCGGCCTTGCATCTAAGGATCACAAGCAAACATCAAGAGATTAGTAGCTAGCTACTCAACTTTTGCAACAGGACTGCAAGAAATTCAGTTCAAATGTGTTACTTTTCAATCCCTTAATCCAATACAGTTAAAAAAGTAAGGGCGGCAATTGGAATTAACATGCCTGGCATTGTCACGGTTAGTCTCGACAAATATTATCTCCCTGAACCCTGTGGACAGGTACACTTGGTTAGCTTAATAACATATCGTTATTAATTTCTGATGATTTTATCTATTCCACACATTTCTCTATGATAAAATCAAAAGAGCTTGAGATTTTTTTTGAAATAAAAGAGAAATTTCTCATCCACAGAAGTGGAAACAGGGGGATTTGAACCCACGGTACAAATAAAAATACTCATACAAACAATTAGTAATTTGCTGCTTTAGTCCACTCAATCATC